CCACATTCAAGTGTTTAAAAAAAGAATGCATGAAGCTAGAATAAAATGTTTTTGTTTACAAGCAGATACCCTGTTCTTTTGATGTTTATATGCTCAGATATTCATGTAACAACATATATACAAATTAATACCTAAATAGGGACATAATAGTATACTTAAAGTATGATGTAAAGTTCACTTAAAGAAAACTTACGAGTATACTTGCAGTATAAAACTACTAAACTAGTAATTTACTGAGATGATACTTCAAAGTGTACTAAAAATGCTACTACAAGTATTTAATTAGTAAACTATCAGTATACCTATAAGTTACCTATAAAATACTTTTAGTATAGTTGCAGTACAAGCTAAAAATGTTGATGTAAACTAGTTGTGTACTCAAAGTTTACTACTGTTATACTTAAAGTATACTTTTATATACTAGAAAGTGGGCCAATTTAGTCCCAAGGAGTATTGAAATAGTACACTTACAAATATACTACTAGTACACTGATATTTGTATACTTACTACATAAAGTATACTTAAAATATACTTGAACTTTACTTAAGTGTACTTACTAAAATAAACTTGAAGTATACTACTTTTTGGTAAGGGTAATTAGAACAATGGTTTAATCACAAAGCCTTCTATTACAATTAAAGCAAAAAGAACTCCACGTAATGGCATTTAAACTGGGATATTAATAACAAACACAGATTATGCACAAATACCATAATACATCTTTTTCTTTTAATTAACACGTTGCCTACATCAAATGTTCTTTTCCCAAAGTAAATAATATTAATGTGCAAAAGTCAAATAATACAATTTAGAGACAAAATTATTCATATCAGTCTACAGATCCAAGAGCTTCATCTAGGTAATTAAAACAAAATAAAATAATTAAAGTTGAAGTTTTGGATTTCTGTGACTTAAGTAAGTCTACACCTATATTTTTTTTTCTAAGAAAAAGTAAAACATAAATGAATACATGATGAATAATTAAAGCAGGTACAATCATTAATGCTGCAGACCTGAAAGTTTCCATTAACGAAAATTGTTTAGCATGTTTTAATGTGAAATAGCATGATTAGATGCAGTAGATGTCACTCGTATGCCTCTCATGCTGGGCCTAATTTTGCATTGCCCATGTGATGCACTGAAAACAACGAAGATATACAACAAAAACAGCTTTACGGGTCTCCAGGGAGGCTAAAAAAAGGAAAAGAGACCTAATTGTTGTGCTTGTACCAAGACCGGACAGTGGCAAGCGCAGAAGCTAAGCAGCACACATCAGCAATTCAGCGTCCACAGGGAGCAGATAAAGATAGAGGAGAGAGAGAAAGAGAAACCCAGTGCCAGTTATGCGTTTGAGAGCCAGCTATTCTGCATATATGTTTTCTCTGTCCTATTACACTCAAGTAACCCTAATTTAGTCTGTGCTGGCGGAGCTGTATTCAACAACACGGGTCAGCGGAGCAAAAGAAAACAGGCCTGACTCAGCTGGAGTGCCACCGGGGCTCTGCTGCTGTGTGAAGTGTGCGTGTGTGGGCGCATGTCTGCTCTGAAGTACAGTGTTTGGCCCACAGGAGCACAGCTGGGCAGAGCGGCATCCCAGCGGTGGCTGCAGGTGCTGCCCTTTCCCCCATCTGCCTATTTCGACCACACACACCTATGCCAGGTTGTCACACAAACACCAACCGTCATTCCTGAGCCCGCGGGACACACCGGCGCAGCCATGGACAAACTGATTAGTGCTGTGTGCTGCCCGGTTACCAGCAGGATATGTGTAAAGCGTTTACTCTGGCTAATTGGGCATGCAGGTAGGAGGATATCAGGCGTGTTTATTGGTTGATACATGCTAAAAAAGAGATACAGTTAACCACATAGTCTATATTGGCAGAAGCATCATTAATTATGATATTGGTAATTAATATTAACTCTACTGTATTGTATATGATAAGCAAATTTCTAAGGCTTCTAAATAACCAGCACGATCAAAACTTGACACAATATACTAGCTTTCTGTCATCTGATTGATAGTTTTAGTCAGTAAAGGAGACCTTTGAGCATAATTATAAAAACGCCTTTTTCTTTACTTTTAAAATCTTTACTGATTTTTATAAAATAAAGGTAAGAATAACTTTTATATTGTTAGAAATGTTTTGAAATGAAACAGCGCTCGACTGAAGCAACTTGATTATCCATAAATAATTTTTTAGAAAAATCACATTAAAGTATCAGGCTTTTGAGGAAGGTTTATTTGTTCATCATCATTGTATTGCATTGCATTATATGTTTAACACTAAAAACTACAGAGCTCTGACCATAAAACTATCATCTTACTAAGACATATTATCGGAAGATATAGAGTGACTGATATGCAAATCATTTTATTTAAGTAGTCTGCTATACTGTTATAAAGATCTCATTGATTTACATTATAAACTATCAGGTTGTAATCTTAATTTTTGGCCATATAAATATAAGCAATTTAATCAAATTACATAATATTGCTCCGTTTGGGCCTCTGTAAAAAAACTATGGTGTTTTTTTTTTTCCCTCCCTCCATAAATATGACCTCCGTTGTGTACTTTATCATAAGGTAAAAGCCTAATGTATAAAATTAGATACTAAAAAAAAAATAATAAAATAAATAAATGTTTGTAACCAAACAGTTGATGGTAGCCATTGACTTCCACAATATAACTAAATAAATAAATGTCAATGGCTACCATCAACAGTTTGGTTACCAGCATTCTTCAAAATATCTTCTTTTGTGTTCAATAGAAGAAAGAAACTCATATAGGTTTGGGACAACTTGAGGGTGAGTAAATGTCACGTATGCTACTGTGTTGGAGCGCAGAGCGAGGAACAAGGAGATGTGGAGTACATCAACAAGGAAGTTTTAATAGAAACAAGGGAACCAGGAAAACACACGTAGCTGAGAAGGTGGACATCAACAGTCATTCACAAAACACGGAACAGAATCTGACATTACTTCCCCCTCCCGGAAGGCGCGTTCCACGCCGTAACAATTCCACCAGGGATGGGGGG